ACGAAAGCCGCTGCTCATTATTTATGATGGTGGTGACAACAATACAAAAAGAAAACAACGCCAGCACACCACCAGGCACCAAGATATTGCCATAAGCCGTTTAACGCGTGGGCGTCGCGTATGATCAATCGTGTATTTTCCATTATTTTCGTTTTAGTCGAACAACCAACACCCCGGGTCATTGTTTTGCACTTGTTCTGTTCGGTTTAATAATTATCTCGAATACATATGATATTATAGCTCCCTTAGAGCTGCAGTTCAATCACCTCTCACGACTAGGCTAGAATTGATGGCTTACTCCGATTTTTATTTTACTATGTAGTCTAATAAAGCTGAGAATTTATCTATTCGAATGTTTTTTTTTTTATAATTTGTTGTACGCCTATAATACCGTTGGTAATAATAATACATTATACTATATTTTTTTTCATAGAACGCCCTCGTGCTGTCCATATTGTTAAAGACCAGTAACAACATTCATTTGTTATTAGTTTTCATTTAATATTGCGCTTTTAATGGAGCCGTTAAAACCGAACAAAAGTAGATCATAAATAATAATTATCATAGCTTTGCCATCACATCGGCGACAATATAATATGCAATATCTTAATAAAGTGGACGGTAATGATTTTTATCGTATTTTAATAGCGCTATGCTCTTTGTTGGCGAGCAAACACATTTATTGTAATCGTGTGTACACATTGTGGCCGCCCATTTAATATTATGGATACTCGATTATTAGAGCAATATATTTAATAACAATCGTAGAGCGACATTACATAACCGCTCAGAAGATGTCAACTTAACGACTGCCATAATACTATTATGTTCTACGCTTTTCGATGTATTGCTCGCAAACAAACCAAAATATGTCATTCTGCTTGAGACCACCCACGCTGATAGTAGCTAGCCATGTTTTTACATGAATATTCTACAATATTATACTCAGTGTAAACACTGTCGTGTGCATTAGCTATTAACCGTAAAAATAAAATCACAATATAGTAAAACGTTTTTCAACTTATTTTTTGAAACGTGCCGAGCGATAGCCCCCCACAAGATGTACTTACATTTCGATATCAATGCTTGTTTTTTTTTTTGGTGTGAAATTTGAACTTTTGTACACTCATTCCCACGTAATAGTAAAATAATGGAATTAGAAGACTGAACTGCGTATTGCACATGGCCTATCCTGCTGTACTCTTCACTGTATAAAACAAATATGTTATATGTAATCAATACACTTTTATCATTTCATTTTTTCCTATAAAAGCATGTCTAATAATAAATTATTGTAATCGTCGAGTTCGAGAACTTAATACGAGTCATTATTTATAGCAATTAAAACCGCAAACTATAAAGTTTCAGAAAAATTATGTTTATACCCTGTCGGAGCCCAAAATCCATGCCCCGAGTAATTAATTGGCGTTTAGTAACAATGCACGATACACATTGCAGACAATAAAGAACCCGGTGGTCTTTAAGTCAACCCTTATTAAAACGATACGGATAATTAATATAAGTTTTATTTGATATTAATGATAATATCGCAATATAACATAAATTACAACTTATAATGTAACTAATAATAGAATCATAATATACCTTATTACAGGTTTTGAAGTCCCATCTTCAATACTAGTACATTGATAATATTAGGTAGGTAGTCAGTAATTTTGTCCACGCTGATTAGCTGTATAATATATTTATGGGTATTTCAATAAACTTTGCACTAGTAAACTCGATTGGTTTAATTGTTTAATCTACATACATACAATAGTTATAATCAATTTAACGATAGTAGCCCTATCTATTTATATAAAAATAAAAAACCCTATGATTTCTATATTAAATATTGTTGTTAATATTCTGGAAATTGTATAGTACGTTGTTTTATGTGTGTTAAAAAAAGTAATATCATAAAAATGAAACCATTCAACTTTTTTTTCAACACTAAAAGTTATCAGCGATTTAGAGACTGATAGATACGTTTTAAAGTCAGATCCTTTTGGTGTGTTGGTAGCTTTCAGAAAATAATGGTTGGCTGTCGATGAACACGATAAATTATTATAATATATCCACAGAAAATCGTCTTTTGTTGACTTATCAGTATAATGAATAATAGTGGTAAAAGTACATATTTACTATAACAATGTTTTCCGATTCGTGACCAGTCACGAACCGGAGTTTCGATTCATTGGACCGCACCCAAACAATAGGTATACTTTGGTAGATTGTTTTTTTTTTTTTTGGTTGTTTTACAGGATAATATTCTAAAGACGAAGATTAATTTAAATGTAGTAGATGAGAACTTGACTTTTAACACCTTTCACTATTCATGTCTGCCTTAAGTGAAAGTGTTAATAATATAATATTTCATAGTTAATTTTTATTTTGAGTTAGTTCGATTTTTTCGCTCTTGTAATTGCCTTCATTATTCAGATGAAACCTAAATAAAATTAAAATTTTCTTCTAAAACAATAAAACATTATTGTATTTATGTAAACTCTGCGATTTTTCCTTTAGATTTAGGGGTACCTTTTCGGGCCAAAACCGAACAATTTCACCTATTTAATATTAAAATAAAAAACACTCCAAAAATGTACATAATTTCTAACTTATAAATACGGCACGCTATTTTTTTTTTGAAACTAAGTCTAATTACTTCTAAACTTGTATGGGATATTTATATATAAGATATAATACTCTAGATTTACGTTGACAAACTAAAAAAAAAATCAAAAACCCTTTCCTTAAAATAGGTTGCAGTAAATATTTTTCTTTATTACTCGTTGTTGGGTTTAGTTGTAGAACTTCAGAGTTCATTTTTAAAAAAAGGCTTAAGGCAAACCTAGTGTGACACTAAAACATATAAAATCTTTTTAAAATCTTGTAGTCAAACTATTTTTGTTTAGGAGAACTCTATAAAACTAAAATTGCGATTCCTGACACAACAGATGTATTTTATTTGAAACGAATTATTGCTTTCAGTTATAATATTTTTTAAAGACTTCACCTGCCATTGGGCCTTGATTAAATTAAATAATCTAGAATTAGTAGTTTTACCGCATATTCGTGACTAAATCCTTGATCAATTATTTTATATAAATACAAAAAAAAAAATATTTTGTTTGACATTTTGTTGAATGTAAAAAATTAAATGGTCGTCAGAGATGTCTCCAGAAGCGTTTGTGTAAGTGGGGAGGATATAAATAACATTCATTTTGTACAAAGATACAATATTTCTTTTCGCTACATCACGGGCGTCGGGCAATAGAAAATATATCGCACTTACTGTTGGCCAGCAGTGACAGCACGTGCTATAGAGTACTATGTTTAGTAGTCGGCCGCCACTACAACTTTTTATGTTGTGAGAAAGAAAAGTTTTGGAACTTGGCATAATGTTTAGGCGACGATGATGGCCCATACATTGCACTTTCTTGACCATAGGCATTTATAAGTTTACCTTGAACTTTTCAATCAGTAGGAAAACCACTGTATTCTTGGTACAGTGGCAAAGAAAAACATTTTACTTGTATATTTAATCTAACTTAATGTCCTCCGTATTGTTTTTCATTACTGCTATTTTCAAGGCTTCATTTATGTACTAAAATCGGTTGGTTAGTAAAACAGTTTTACTCGTTTTAGAATAAGCACTAGGACGTGAAATTTTACAATTAAAACTGTTAGTTTTTTAATACCGTTAAAAATGTATGCGTTTTTAGCAAATTTATTGTTTGGCTGTATTTTTTTCTAATGTATCATTAATATTATTGGATTGGAAGTAGTTTCAATGATTTACGTTTTAAAGCAAAAAGCCTACAAGTTAAGTACTAAAGATAATCAGATTTCAATTCTATAAACGATACGAGTTTGTAAAAATATCGACTTGGTGTTAAAAAAAAAATAAAATGTTGAAAACGGTATTGTTTAATTACAAAAAATCTAAAACATTTGATGAGTTTTTTCCTAATCAGTCTTAAGTTATCAAAAAAGATTAATAACTAATATTATAAACGCTGTACGGAAAAAATGTACTTTATACCTATTAAAAATTAACCATTGAAACAAGTTGGTATGATTGAAATCTGTACATAAAAACTAATCTATACCTATTTATTTCTATCGAATATTGTCTATATTTTATCCCTTATTAAGTTGCTATTCAATCCCCGAAGTCATTCTATTTACATCCTAATTGTAATTGTCGTCAAATTTGTTAAGTGGTGAATGATCAGTCGTATTTATACAAGTAATTGTCAATTAATGAAAACGACTGCTACGCCTTTTAAACATTTTCCTTGATAACAAGCTTTTTGTTAGTATGACAAATTGAGATTTCGTAGGTACTAAATTATCTACAAAAAAAAAACTGTTTTTGTATCAATATTTAAATTAATTTTAAAAATCAAGGTATTTTATATCTTTAAAAAAAAAAATTACAATTCACAATAACTGTCTTGCCGTTGGGCGTGACAAATAACTATTCCAAGCGCACAAATCAATATTGTATGTTTTTTCGCTAAACCGTTTTTTTAATAATAACATGGTCGTGTTTTCTAGTTCAATAACTAAGGCGTTGTCTACACAATTTCCCCTGCAAAATTGGATTTTGGACCATCGACAAACTGTTGTCAATATGTTTCATGTACAGCTTATTAGAAAATTAATAGAAACCTGATAATGTACAGGAAATTGAATGAAGTTTTCGGGAACATCGCGTTCGCTGTTGTCTGGTTCTATCGGCATTACCATAATAGATAGCTATTACCATGTAGTAGGTACACTATGTGTACTATGGTTACCTAACCTTATTTTATTTTATACCCTGCTATCCAGCTTTTTTTTTTTTTGCAACTCGATTACTAAATTATGCAAAAAGAACATATTTATATGTTTAAGGGATTTGGTGAAACATATTTTTACATAAGCAATGAGTTTAAAGCACAACTATCTCAGTAGAATAAATAATCATTTTTATGGTATTTTTTATGTTGCAGGTGGTGCTTGTGTTCATTTTAAGTATAGCATCTCTAATAATTTATTTTATCGACGCCTCCAAGTAAGTAAATTGATAAACATATAGTACAATAGTCATCATAAAGCATAAATATTATTATTTATTTGTAATATTACATTTTCAGCGAGGAAGTTGAACGATGCCAAAAGTGGAGTCATAATGTTACTCAACAAGTAGATTTAGCGTTCAATATCTTTTTTATGGTTTACTATTTTATAAGAGTAAGTTTAATATTATCATACATAATTTTAACTATTCCTAATGGGGTATGTAATTAATTCACTTGTCATATCATTCGTTAGGTTAGGTTATATCTTTATGTCTTATTGTCTACGTCTATGTGTCTATTTAATAGTATAATATTGAAATAATGAAAGCATTATACAAAAAAAATAGCTATTTCATAAATCTGTATTTTGGAATAATTTGATGTTTTAAATAACTTTTTTTAAATTCGTATAAATCTGTTAGATTTAAAATAGTGCCACAATCAAAATTGTTTTCTTGCATTTTGCAAAATGCACAACTGAACATTTTGTATCAAATATTATCAAAGTATCAAAATATCATTTTTCATGTTTTTGTGGGATGGATGATTCTTACTTCTGCATCACGTCATTCATTTTTATTCTAATTAATGTTTGAAAAACTTAGCTATAAGCAAAATGCACTAAAAAAACGGGTGGAATAGTTGACAAACTATTTGGCATAGCACTTAAATTCTAGTAGCAAAACTCCACTTACAAGTTTTCCAGCTCAATAAATCAATTTGCTTGGCGCCAGACTCTGGCAATGCAGCTTTGTAATGTCATAGTTATGGTCCATTTAAGGCCTTAAATCAAATAATGTACGGACTTTTCTACGAACCTTATAAAAAATAAAATGTATCTTGAACATACGCATATATTTTTATGTACCTAAATGTATCTATATATCGTCTATTATTTATAATTTAACGTTTTAAGTATTCTGTATTTCAGTGTGTTCTTACTGAATGGTTAATAACAATAAGTAAAACTTCAAAATATGAAAAAAACTTAATTTGTACACAAGCTTGTATTTCAAATGTTAAAATATTTTTTATGTTTATTAAAGTAAAAATATAATCTGTATAAATTGCACAATAAGCATTTGTGATAAAACAATATTATATAGTTTAACTTTAAAAATTACTTGTAGAGAGACCGCCCAGTGGCGGAACTCCTAATGTTAAGAAATGTTTACTTATTGTTGGTTGATTAATTTATTTTAAAACGTGTGATCTTTTGGCGGGCAAATATAAACGACTCTAATATTATTTAAAATACCTATTACATAGTATAAAAATTATAATATGGTAATTTGTGACTTAATTTTAATTCTATAAAATAATTCGTGAAAATGAATCGCTAATGGCAGTCTGTGTCAATTAAGCGTTAAAAAGAACCATAGTTTGATAATATTAAAATTATTACTTTAAGAAAATAAAACTCTACATAAATGTTGAGCTAAACTGGTGAAAACGGCCATACATTGTCTCTTTACTTTAAACAAATTAATATATGAGATTTATGTTAAAACATCGATAAAATAAATATACGGTTAATATTTTCAAAAAGCGAAATGGTCTGAGTTACTGAACCTTTAAAGTTTCAAAACAATAGTTTTTTGGTCATAAATACCCATTTTTACCTACCCAATCCCCTTTTTTATAAGTAAATTATATACAATAGAAATAACCGCATTTTTTAAATTTTATTTTCAGTTTATAGCAGCCAGTGATAAGTTATGGTTTATGTTAGAAATGTATTCATTTGTAGACTACTTCACGATTCCACCGTCGTTTCTTTCAATATACTTAGGTCGAACTTGGATCGGTAAGAGTTAACCGGGTATTATTTGTTAAACTTTTCAGATAAATAAATACGTAATATTTAATGTGCATTTTTAATAAAAGTTATACACTTGTTGTTTGTAGTGCACTAATAATCTTTGATTACAAAAGAAAAAAAATACTAATATGTTTTAGGTCTAAGGTTTCTCCGAGCCTTACGTTTAATGACAGTGCCTGATATTTTACAATATTTAAACATTCTAAAAACGTCGAGTTCCATTCGACTTGCTCAACTCGTGTCTATTTTTATATCCGTATGGTTAACCGCTGCCGGAATTATTCATCTAGTAAGTATACTGTGACATCTTTTGTTGTGTTACTCTACTTACTATTATCTGTTTTTTCCCCCAACAATTTAGCTTGAGAACTCAGGAGATCCATTCGAGTTCAAAAACCAACAGCGGTTGTCATATTGGACTTGCGTGTACTTTCTCATTGTCACTATGTCCACTGTTGGATATGGAGACGTGTTCTGTCAGACGATTTTGGGCAGAACTTTTCTTGTATTTTTCCTACTCGTCGGACTTGTAAGTGTTTTTGTTTTATATTTTTTTATTATTAATTACATTACATATAAATGTTTTATTTATTTTGCCTCTTCATTTAGAATAGGCGTGTTAAGATATTTTAGGGTCACGTCTTATGAATATAAAAAGGTATTATTCTAAGTAGCGATGGGAATCCGGATTTTTCAAAAAAACGCTTTTTAAGTCTTTTGAAAATCATATAATTGTTAAATACTATTACAATATAAAGATGTGTACCTAAGTAAAGTTTGTTGATAAAAATTTTTAAAAAAAACTCTTAACTTTGTCTATAAAATGCTTTTGGATTTCGGATTCCGGATTTTCGGATTTCAACAAATCCGAAATTCAAAAGCAGTTTTTCTCTTTGGTGTTTTGTTTTATTTTCACATATTTATTAAAAAAATGTTATTTAGATATAGAGCTTTATATTGTAAAATTATTTAACACTTATATGATTTTTAAGTAGCGTAAATAGCGTTTTTTTGTGAAAATCCGAATTTTCCGATTCCCATCACTAATTCTAAGTATCTTTTAAGCACTGTACCTATTTATTCGTAGAGGTAAAAAATTATTTTTATTCGTCTAACATTTAGTATCAAAGGTTAAATATTTTTTTTAAAAATATATACCTATAATAAAGCAAATGTATTAAATAATTAGGATTTTGGCGGTGCATGAGTGCTGTTCAATTAAGTTTGCTTTGATAATTTTAATTTCAAGTTTGAAATTAAGAATATGAATAATTACAAACATATATAATGTTCGTATTTATTTTATAAATGTTACCAATACATACGGTTTACTCTCAGGTGACAATTACATACTGTTATAATATAATATTTTATATAATAAGCAATACAATAAATAACTCAATTCAAATATAAAAGAAACAACATTTTGTGGCAGAAGCTTTCAGCAGGTAAAACGCTATAATACACGTATTTTTTTAGTTAGATTTATTTATATTATTATATTTGTTAAAAGCTCTAAAAAGCCGGCTGTTAATTTTTTATATTATTTCTATACATTTGCATTACAAAGTATAAACATAACTGATAATATTCCAGTAATATTATCTCTCCACTTTGACTGAAAAAATTATGTTCTCGAATGGACACTTGGAGTAAAAGGTCATACTTTGTTTTTTTTAACTTATTAAAAAAAAAAATGAATACCCACAAAAGTTTTCATAGTGTTTTAAGCCAAATAGGTAAGATACTTACTTTAAGTATAAAAAGTATATTTTGGGTATTAAATGTTTCATACCTCAAGTCTGGCGCTTTTTAACATGCCATAGTACATATTCGCTAAAATGCTTAGCAGCTTTAAGCTTCATTTTTCGCTAGCATTAAGCTTGCATTGGCGGACACAAAAATAATTATACACAAAAGTATACGACTGCTGTAGGCGTTAATATATTAATTCAGTCGTGTATTGCATGTGATAATATTGTTATATCCATAATACAATCATTTAAGAATTTATAATTTAGGTAAATTATAGAAATTTAAGTCATGTTTATCATTTTAATTACATGTTTAAGTAGTTAATTAATGAGTTTCTTCTTATATTTTGTTATGTAGTAAGACATATACTGTTTAACTGTTTTCGGTCATTAGTATAATATATTAGATGTATGTATTCATCTTTTTTGTTGTTTACCTATTTTGTTTGTTTTTATTATATCATAGGCAATATTTGCTAGTAGCATACCAGAAATTATAGAGCTCGTAGGAACTAGATCAAAGTTTGGTGGAGAGCTCAAACGTGAACACGGAAAGAGGTACTCGTTATATATGGACACGTCCAATATAATATTTCATTTTACTACTCATTCACGATATAACTTTATTCTATGATTTTGATTTTGTGTTTTCGATTAACCATTGGGATTAAGCTTTAACGCGAAAAATAAGCTGATTCTTTCGCAAATAACAGATATTCTAATTCGTTTTTGGTAATTTACAAATTAATTTTTAACAGCTATTTTGCATGCTATTTTAGAAAATTAGTTCTTACTAAACTTAATTGTTAGCGAGTTACCAATAAATATTGTATTACTCTTTGCTGCATAATTTATTTGCTGTGTAAATTAAAAAACCACAAATAACTATAGTTAATATAGCCTATTTTAAATTTAATATAAATATGTAATAACTAATAACAATAGTGCAATGACGATTGGACGATCACGTCTGAATTTTATAAGCTGATCGTTCATTGAGGCTTAACAATAGCTAATGCTTGAAATGTTTTTAATGAGTGCAACCCAAATACAAATAGCGATATACCATTTTATTTATCACCAATGACCTTTTACTCTGAATAATGATATTATGGTCTGCATAAAGAAATCAACTCCCTCGAGCCACGGGCTGATACACACACATACACAAATCGAGCTTTAAACTTGTATAAAGTGTCGTTTCACAAATATAATATTGTATTTAGGTATAATGTCAATAAATATTAAACAAAAATGTAATAAATATTTTTATTAAGGTCGTATAGCTATACTATTATTGCCTAACACTATTACATTTTGGCAGTTGTCACAGTATTTAATTGGAACAGATAAAATTTGAATTACATTTTTTATAACTCCACGTTACTAACCTTTTGGAATTATTGTCCAAATAAAAAATAATAAAAGGAAATAATGAGTTACCGACATAGCATTGTTATGTTGCGACTGTACTAGCCACGGCGCCGTCTTCGGGACACTAAAATGATCGTCCGTGTCGTTTTTATGTTAAATTTTGTATGGTTTTTTGACAAGTAGGCACAACGTTTTACCGATAAATGATCCATTATTAATTCCGTTATGGGTTTTTTCGACTACGTCGGTATTAATCTTGTTTTAATATCGTGTCACGTTTTCCCCTTTTGTTTCGGTGTATGCACAATAGCGACAAATGTCTAATGCTATCAATGCTATCATTGATTCTATCAATACTTACAGATCTCACTGACACCGCACAATAAAATGTTGGTTTAGTAAATGGATTATTTCCCTATATATTTGTACGGGGGAAGCGATTAGAGTACTGTAGGTCATACCTCCTCGGTTGCCACTTACCACGCTATTATTTAAATTTGCATATACATATCCAAATGCGGTCCGGACAGGTGTCCGGGCCTAGAGGATAAACTTTAAAGGTGTTCTACAAAGGTATATCGATTTTTCAAAGTCAGCTCCTGAATAATATTCGACGTAACCGAAGAAACTCACTTAAAATAGAAAACAAGTCTGCGAATCGTACACAATTTTTTTTTTTTTTTGTTTAAAAACATTTAATATTTCGCTATAACGCCGGTTACATTTTTTACACATTTTTTACTTTACTTTAATTTGTTTCGGGTTTTTTTTTTAATATTGTGTTAATATTGTATTGTTAACCGAACGGTGATAGGCTGTGATGGCAAGCTGGATACCCGAAATCACCGAGCTCGCTGGCAACAGGAAGCGATATGGTGGGGAATACAAGCGAGAAAGGCGAAGGCAAGAATCGCCAATAATTTATTTTTCGTATTTCGTACACATGAATATAATATGTATCCTATAAAGTATATAAATGATAAATATATATATATTTACAAGTAATTTTCTGAAATAACTCGAACCGCATACGCTTCGATGGTGTTATCCTTTAGACTTCCACGGCCGATTAGATTATTGCATTTTGTTCGCTTAACGCTAAATACGTTTTTGAAATAACTCAGAAATTGATTGCGAAAAGGAAACAATGTATTTTCACGGAATAACTAAATTTGTTTTTTATTTGGAAAATACTTCAATGTCGTCGTCGAACGATTATTTCGAGTTTTTTCCATATTTTTTTTGGTAAACCGTACAATAGAATTATTATTAATTTAGTTAATGAATAACCCAACATTATTTAACAAATTAAACAGAAAAAAAAACTTATCGAACTATATATAAGTGGAATCTATAAAATACAATAAGACGAAATGAATTAGCTCGTACATAATATATCTTGTTGTATGTTATATCTACATATGTACCTATGTACCAAGGTTTTACTTAATGTGAATTAAAATTGCAAAAGGTTACTCCGTAAAACAGATGTCGATTTGTTGGTCTTGTAGGTGCAATCAGACCGTGCATAAAAAATCAAGCTAAAAATATATTTAAGTTGTACTATCAGGCCGTGAAAATACATTGTCACATAAACATCACGCGACATCTACCATCGTAGCCAAAATCAGTTATCTTGGTGGCATGAACAAAATATTCTCCCAACATAGTTGAAGAACAAATAGTTTAGAAAATATATATAGCAAATAATATTATCATTATCGAAAAATTTAGATGTTAGATTCATTGTTTATTTTTATATATTATATTACTATTATTATTATTAATATTATTATAATTTGCAAACCCAATATATTATGTAGAAGTCGCACTTATTAGCTTTATTAGTTTTGTCAGTAATACAAACATAATATCGACAATATTATTAACATGGGATATTATATCCTCGGTAAATAACACTTTTACTTTTTAAACATTATATTTTATTTAATATTTTCGATTAACATGTGCCATGACAAATAGATACTAATACATTTTAATAAGAATATTTGTTGTCATTTGTCTCTAATTTGGATGTTGAAATAACAATTTATATTTTATTTAAAACCAACTCGGCCCGGACAAACATATTTTATTTTATTTTTTTATTATAAAAATACTCGGTTAATAATTGTTATGATTAGATTGACATTAAATGGTAAACAAGGGTATAGGGGCTTGACTAGTTGTACAAAAGTAGTTATTTTGTTTAAAATTTCATTTTGTACTTTTAAGACACTGACAAAATAATATGGTGCCTAAAACACGATAACAGTTTTTTCCGCCACACAATTAATTTTTTATTTTCATTTGTTTTTTACTATTATTCCAAAATAATGAATCATATACAATAGCAGGAGCATTTTTGAGTTGTTGTGTGTCTTATATTTTGTTTTTGCATTTTATTTTGTTTGTACACCAAGAAACATTGGCTCGTTGGTAGATTTCTGAATGAATCGTAATAATATAATATAATTATTATAATTTTAACACTCACATAAACTAATCGAATACTAGGATAGACTAGTTATAACAAAACTAATTAAGCATGGATAAATTTATTGGAATTTATTGGAATGTATTTTATTTTTAACAAGACTAAATATATTCATAAGGTTTTGTATGCGTGGATTTATAGAAATTAAATGAAATTATAAATGTGAATTAATTTAAAATTACGATGTATTATAGTATTTTATATAATAGATATATAAAAAATACAACAAAACTACCTAACTATGTGTTACTGCTGATCGCTAACAAGCCACGTTTCTTTAGGTGTGCTCACTTAAAAGGTAAAAATATTCACAATCAAAATTTAAATTATAAGTATATTTTCTTTAAACGTTATTTATTATTATTTTTATTTGCGAATGAAAAAAATTCATTTTTAGGATATTTTACTATTGGCGGTAAAAACTGACGATACATCGAATTAAATTTAAAATATCGGTACATATTTTTAATATATTTTATTAATAATAATTACAAAAATTAGTATGATTTTTAAAGTTTTGGTAACGTGCACTAAACGAGTTTGTGTTTCCGCTACTCAATGATCATACACAAACTTTGCTGATAATTATGTACCCGACTTCGTTCAGTGCGCGTTTGACTGCCATATCATGCACTCTCGTATGTGCTGTCAGAGTCACACACACATACACATACTAATATAAAATATAATAACTACATAAATAACTGTATAACAATATGTTTAACTTGGCGCAATTACCATATGTATCAATTTCTTGAAATTTTGAACTATTTGGGGTTCCTTAGGCGATTTTTGCGAGTTGTATACCCGAGATAATTGACCTGATCGGGACTAGACCAAAATACGGAGGAACCCTGAAGAATGAACGTGGAAGGAGGTAATATCAATACAGTATATTATTATATTTATTTATATATAATATATATACACTTTAAATATAATATAATATATTTTACCTACATAATAATATTTATGTACATATGTACATAAATGTATATGTTTATACTAAATAATTTTACATTTATTATTTTATACACTTTTGTTATATTTAATATTATTATTTTTTTTTTTTTAATAATATTATAAATTTAATATGGGTAATGTAAATAAGGATAGCGAAGAAATAGCATACAGTTCACCATATTATTATGATGTGATAAGTATATATGGGCATAACCGAATAGGTACTTTATTCACACAAAACAAATTTTAATATCATGCTGCAACTTAAGCAACCGTGCCGAGTTGCTAAACCTATTATAGTTCAATTGTGGTGTGACTTAAAGTGTCAACACTAACATAAATTTGCTTAAATATATGTTAAATTGATAAACATGTTGTGTTGTTGTTTATGTAAAATAACTGCACGTAAAAGCGACCAGTTTTTATTGATTTTGCCTGAATCCTGTTTTTAGACTAATAATTAAATTGTATGTAAATATATAATATTACTAATACTTACTGTATCATACATGAAATATTATTACAATATTTATTATATTATCTTTTATTGTAGCTTAAACACATTAAAGTTGAACACGCTTAAATCTGTAGCATTTACCAAAGCCAAAATAGTATCAATATCAACGTAACAATATTCATTTTTTAAGTTTTGCAATGCAAAAATTACATGCAAAAAAAAAATATATGTTTTAGTGTCAAAGCAGTCGGCAGAATTATTCTAAACACTGTGTGATCACCCACGACAAGTGGTTATTACACAATCATAGTCAGTTATTTTAGTTTCGTTTTGTTTTGGTTACATACATTATACCATAATTTATTCAATTTAAATGCACATTTTATAAGCAATCATCATATTACGCTTTGAGTAGTCTTATCCTGACAGATTCAATAGGATTTGACTGTAGTGTCTTCCTTGTCGGAGCATATACAATTTGAAATTCATTTTTTTTTTCGGTGAGGGGGGGAGATTTATTTATAATTTTTTATTTGTATACAATCCAAATTAATTTAATATGTGTTTTCTAATATGCAGGCACATTGTCGTTTGTGGACACATTACGTACGAGTCGGTCTCTCACTTTTTGAAAGACTTCTTACACGAAGACAGAGAAGACGTGGACGTGGAAGTAGTATTTTTACACAGGTACGGACCATGTTTTAATTTTAATAAATATATTTTTATAAATTGTCTAAATAATAAAAAAAAAGCAATATTGAAGACGCATAATATTATAATTTAAAACAACTAAACAATCATTGCAATCTCGTTGTAACTCTTTTTATCGTATAATTTATAAATTATAATACATACAAATATTATAATTATTCGATGTTAAGTGGAACAAAACTAGGTACGACGATATATTGTGTAATTTGCAGAAAAGAGCCAGATTTAGAATTGGAAGGGCTGCTCAAACGTCACTACACCACTGTCGAGTTTTTTCAGGGTACAATGATGAACGCAGTAGATCTTGAGAGGGTGAAGGTAAATTCCCTCTCTCAGCCAGATTTTTTTTTTCTGTGAACCATTTTTCTTATCAATTTGTGCTCAGTTATTGTTATCAAACATAGTCGGTTACTATATAACAGCTACATGTAGTCTGATTACAAAATAGAACCAATTCTTAATTAGCTCTAGATAGATAATTAATATATACATAACATTTTTAACGTAGGCATTTTTGATTTACACCAATATGATACAATTATTATTTTTTATATTATTGTATAATCGTCATTTAGATTGTTCTTACAGTATTTAATTAGTTCTCGGCCATCAAGGCCGTTTAAACTGTAAAGATTTATTGTATTTTGCTTTGATCCATGTATTTAGCTGTCATATTACGGGAACTCCAAACGTATATTTTGACGATGGTTAAGATAGTTTAAAACAATAAAAAAAAAATAAATAAATGTAGTTTTAAAAGGAATTTGACGGTTCAAAATTTGATTTTTGGTAAAATGTACGAATTAACCTAACGGGAATTTATTACGGTGTGTGTGATCAATAAAAAAAAAAAGAGTTATTATCATAGTTAAATAATATATATACATTTGTATAGTCGTTTATTATTGTACTACTAGTTACCCACCAGTTATAGATAGAATTTTAAACAAATTTCTGAATATAATAGTTTTTCTATTGTTGTTGAGTATTGTGATAATTTGTTATTAATTAGGATACAGTGTGTAATATAATAGAAGACATGTCAGTATTAGTTGTGCTTCAATTTAGTTATTTTTTGATATTTTCCAAACCGTAGGAAGCCACCTGACCTGGAACTGGAAGGACTTTTCAAGCGACATTTTACCACTGTCGAGTTCTTCCAAGGTTCTATAATGAACCCTATTGATTTGCAAAGGGTAAAGGTATGTCCAAACAAATGGCTTTAGCACAGATTGAATGACGGTTGCAATTTTTGGATTGGAATGACGCTGGTGATGGATTTTTGTGATGAAAATATTTGTTCATAATAATTATAATATCTAATTAAACATTTTTCACTTAACCAAAAACTCAGAAGATAAACCTGACATTTTTTTTTTGTTCCAATTTTTTTCTTTTAAAACAGCATTTTATAAAACTGTACTTAACAGCGCATGCTTTCTTAATACTTATGCTGGTAAACACTAATGACTAATGATATTAACCATCGACTTAACTTTACACAAAGAATATACTCCCAAAATATAGGACTTCATTTCATTATCACTCATGATCATTACCATTATCACGCAGAATAATTTAGTCATCTGTATGGTATTCTTTAGTTTATTATACCTGCCTGTTTTTTTTTTTATTAGAACAACCATTGGTACGTTGAAATTCAGTTCATAGATTACAGTACATAATAGAAGACGTTTTATTATAATATTCATACTGTATTATTTTACATTTTTCGCATGAAAGTGCATGTTGGTTTAGCTTATTGTTTGTTTTTAGCTTGAAGTACCTAATATTTTATTGTTATTTATTTATTTTGCATGCAAATACGAACACGCGTTACGGCGTTTCATAATGTTATTATAAATCCTGTCTTTCCAACCAGTGATTATTCCAAATGTTACATTTTTTGATGTCTATGTTTAGGTTCATGAAGCCGACGCTTGTCTGGTTTTGGCAAATAAATACTGTCAAGATCCGGACGCTGAAGACGCTGCGAACATAATGAGGGTTATTTCTATCAAAAATTACTCGGACGACATAAGGGTTATAATTCAACTTATGCAGTATCATAACAAAGTTTGTACATAGTTCTTTTCGTTAATTGTAGTTAATTTTATTCTTGGACCTTTTTAACCCATGGAGTCGTAGCAAGGGTAAAAATAAACAAATAACTCTCAAGCCGGATGTTAGCGTTTATTGTCGCCGGTTTGGCGTTACGTCATTGGAAGTTTTTCTCTTGAACAGGCGATTAGAGATACTACCACCCTCCTCCATTAAATAGCAAAAACCTACAACGAGCCCAATTTCTGTAAATAAACGACCGAAGTATGCCTTTAACTTATTATCGGTCATAGAAAGCAATGGAACTAAATAAAAACCCCAAAATGGCTATAACTCCTATACAAATAAATTTTACTTTGATAATTAATAACATACCAAGTGTCGTACAAATAAATCAAAATATAAGTTGAGATAATCAAAAAATATACATTTTTAATGTCTTGAAACTATGTAATTTCGCATTAATTCCGTGTATGAATTATTTATTCTCTCTTCTAAGACTCGAGAATTTTAAGTATTTGTTCGAATACAAATTTCTGGAAAATACTACTAAACGCCCAACTAAATGTCTTGCTTTAATGATTGAAACAATCTATTTGTATATTTATCAAAAACAATTAAAATGTTTTAAAATCCCTAGTATTTTATGATAGTACTTAAATTTAGTATTTTATACAGAAATCTTAATCTAAACAATCTGATCATTTGCAGGCGTATTTACTAAACATTCCTTCGTGGGACTGGAAACAAGGCGACGACGTCATTTGCTTGGCCGAGTTGAAACTCGGTTTTATCGCGCAAAGTTGCCTGGCTCCAGGTTTTTCCACTATGATGGCGAACTTGTTCGCAATGAGATCGTTCAAAACGGTGAGTGATCATTGACCAGATTTGTTTGTGAGCTTTTTAGACACCTCTCTCTATCTCTCACTCTCTATCTTTGAGACACCTATACAGAACTAGGCGATAAACGCATAACACAACAATAATGTCATTATTGTTTTCTTCCCGGGGACTTGACCAACGTAAGAATATAGACCTTTGACCTTTTGTTTTTACGTATCATGTTCATTTTTGTCAGCTGAAAAACGCGAGTGGCAAACCGATGTTGTTTTTCGTTTGGCGTTTGTCTCGAAGGAACAAAACGAAAAACATCACGACGTTTGCCTATCAATTTTTATCGGTTGCGGTGAATAAGTGTGTTAGACAATATCTGTTAGCAGAACACGAGGTGCGTGGTGGCGCCAGATGCTATACAAACGTGGCAGAACGACTATCTGCGCGGCACCGGCATGGAGATGTATACGGAAACGCTGAGCCCGACATTCATTGGCATGCCGTTTGCGCATGCCACTGAGTAAGTGGACTTAAATTAGGTGACCAAACATGTGTACCAGCGGCGAAATTGTTTTTGTTTTATTAAATTTATTTTATTTCCGTCAGATATTTGACGTGATTTGTGCATCTCAAGTCTGTTATTGTGCCACGTGTTAAAATTGTATTTTTGTTTACATGCGCCTCTATGCAAATTGCATATTATACAAACTACTCGTATATTTTTCTGTTCAAAGGGTCTCTTTAAAAAAAATATATGTATATATATATATACTATATATATATCATATATATATATATATATATTTTACTTATTCATAATTTGTTTGGCAACCGAGTACTTAAACGTTCGTTAAAACATAATATTACGCCTTAGGTAAGGATCGTTTTTTGAGAGAGTAAAATTATTATATATTTCTAAGTACGGAGACGCTTTGAACGATTATTTTAATTTACTTACACAACGTCTTCGATTTAATTACACACTCGACGAAATCGTAATATTATCTATGATTTGATTTGCTTTTTGGCCTATGGCTCATATTCTATCGTTTTCACACATGGCTGAAAATTTGGGGTCCTGCAAAAGCATAAGCAACGCGCAAGTGCCACGCTAATTTTTTAGCCGTGTAAAACAGCTTATATATATAAAACTATTCTTATTGTTTCTGTTTTATTATTTGAATTATAATATATAAAATATATATGTTATATGAATTTATACATTGCACGTACAAATTATTACAGTTACTAAAATGTACAGTCTATTTTCGATGATGATATAATATATTAATTTGCTTTTTAATTGTCATTGGTGACGTTTTATCGTCATTAATTTAGTTTAAACATTAAAAACTAGTGAAATTTGATGTGTAACTTTAGCAATTTTTAAATTCTAAAATTTTACCCTAACTTTATCGAATATTGACTGTACATTTTTAGCTTTTATGTCTTACGTCTGAACAGTTTCTCTATTTAACACCATCTAAGTGGTGAGTTAGCATTTCTCGTGCATGCAACAAGACTAAATAAAATAAATTTCAGAAGCGAAACAATGGTTTTTGGTCTATATACTATATCGGTGGGATACTTATCATGAATGTAGTAGTGACCTTTAAATCACATATCATTAAGAAAACCCTTTGAGTTTTTATTTTATTTTATTTATGTATTATTTATTTATTTACTATTATTTATTTTATTTATATGCATATTATTTACGTTTTACTACAATTTCTTTAAATATAATATGCCAGGTCATTATTTATTTAAAAAATCACTATTTCACAATTTCAACATTATCAACAATTATAATTAAATTAATACTGCTACAGCAGAGTATAAAGATAGTATTAAAAAAATATTGTGAACATTTTTTAATAATATTTTTTTATAACACTTCGAAATAATTTTACTACCTATATTCAAAATATAAATACTGGTGTTGTTCTGTACCATTTAATAAAAATATGTTCTTAGAAATTTGAAAACTAGATGTCTTAACATTTATGTAGCATCTGCTACATAAATATCATTAATTTCAATCGGTAATTTGCTACATTACCGATAAAAAATATCATTAATTTCAAGTCCTCGGTTTGTTTTTATAATTACTAAAAAACTGTTTGCTATAATAATTATATAATATAATTTACCTACCTATGACTTTTTATAATGATCTGACAATGCTTTATATGTATTACCCATCCGTCTATTCCTACCTAAATACCTATCTAACTACCTTAATTGTAATTATAACTTTGTTTTTTTTTTTTTAATTTGTTTGTTTTTTTTTTTTTTAAAGTTATTTTGATACTGTTTTTAGTTTGTTTTGTTTTGTTTTGTTTTATCATTTCTTTTCATTTTCGGTTTGCGACCCGATGAATGTGATGTAGAGTAGAGATGTGATAGAGCGTTTGATACCGTGTATAGTTCCTGTGAAGAGTGTGGAGTTTGGTGTATTTCAGTCTCCGGATACGCAAGCGTGGCAGAACGACTATCTGCAGGGCACCGGCTGCGAGATGTATACGGAGACCCTATCCCCGTCGTTCACCGGCATGACGTTTCCGCAAGCCAGCGAGTAAGTCCCTACGCCACACCCCACATGGTCTCACCACACCATACATCCGATCTTAACGATCTTCCCTTTTGATATTTAGTTATCCCGGAGCTATTTTTTTAACATTTTTTTTTTAGTTTTCTCATTATAACATTAGTATAACATTAATTTTTACTACCGAAACTAATTTGTATTTTTATTCGTTGTTTCTGTAAAGTGTATTTTTAGTAGGATAGTTAATCAGTAATTGTTTGGACGTGGTATTTGTCATTGAACAGTAATGTTTGTTTTTATTAGTCGAGAACTTAAACTAGATTTTTTTTTGAGACTATTGGTTGCGTGTTAGTCCGTAAAAAAAAAAATTACACTCCGTTTGTTTCACTAAATTTATAAGTAGTGCTAAAAAATCACTTTTTGGCATTTTTGTCCGATCTTAAAACTTGAGGATTATTGTTTTTTATTATAAAATGGTGATGTAAACAAAAAAAAAAATTATTCTTCGATATTTCACTCAAAATTTTACAAATTGATAGGTCACTCGACATGTTATTTAACACCAATGACAACCTAACGGAAAGTTATGAGTATTTGCAATAATTTATTTTTAAAAAAAAATGTGATATAATGTTTTATCTTTCTAGTAAACAAATAACATTTGTTATTATATAGAGTGAATTACACTTACGATAAACCCTTTTTTTACTCAAAACACGAGTTACACCTAAACTTCAAATTGGGTTCTAAATTGTTGCATTGCAACTAAAAAGTTTGCTGGATAAAATTTAATTTCGTCAAATAGTTGTGAATTTATGTGTTTTTTTTTCTTAAATAATTCTTTAAGCAAATCGCTGTAAACCATCAAGTCTGATCGGTAAGCTGGTGGTATTTACCCTACGCGTCTAGACGGGATTACCTACCAAGTTATCCTAATCATTAGGTTCCGTGAACTAGACACTTCTTATGTGAACGTTAATGTGAGACGGACAGATTGTTAGTAACGGGATAAGAGGATTGTAACTGTAGTCGTAACATTTGTGTATGTTTTTATAGGACTTAAAGTAATACTTATTTTCAATATATATTTATATTTTATACGGATAACGCATAATACAACAATATTATGTTTTTAAAATTAACTGAATTTCCATAAAAGTTGATCCTCAAAGTTGTTTCGCTTAGTAATCTAAAAATATTATGCCAAAGAGCCATTAATTAAAACAGGTTTTTTTTTATAATGATTGATTAAAATAGCGATAAGAAGAACAATAAAACCACTTGAAACGGTTGCGCCCTAATTTCACAGGCACTCGAGCAACGGTAGCGGTTACTGTAAATATTTGTTCAACCTTAACACCGACTAATACCACGTCCACTTTTGACAGTAGCGTGTGGTGGAATTCATATATTATTTTATGTAAATATTTTCGGACGAAAGAGCCGTTTAGTTTTTGAAATAATAATAATTAACAACAATGATAATAATAACATTTACTGTCATTATTATTACATTTGTTATTATTTTTTCCTTGAGAACAAAAGCATGTGGGTAGTTCTGTCAGTAGACAAAATATTACTACACTATTATTCTTATTGAATTCGTGGTTGTGTTGGAATACAATGCGGGGTATATCGTGTATGATAGTATGTTACATATTTATTTGCATGTATACCTAGTAAAGTTGACAAGAGTACTCTAAAAAAAGTAGTAAATTAGTTAAACAACATAATAATTGTCACACGAGTCCTTTTTACATTATTATTATGCTGAAACATTTTATGTTTTTTATTGATTAACAATATTATCCATTTTACAAATTGTAGCATAGAATTCATTGCTGACTAGTTAAATGGTTTTTTTATTCCACATGGACATTTTTACTATAAAAATACATATCACAATATTCTGTTTCACCAAACGCAAAAGACACCAACACTAAATTTTACCACAATGAATTGTCCATAATATTTTAATGGGGATATCACGATGAAACTTCATTCATATCATATTCGTTCCGTTAAACTATATAATATAGGTACCACACGCTACTAATTAGATTTAGTATGTTAAATATTTAATTTCTCATTAATCTCCCTATCTCATGAAATACATATACTTAACTATTTATTATTTAGAGTTATCAGAAATTATAAATAATTTGTGTATAAAAGACATAAATTCAAAAATTACAATCTTCTTAGAGTTGTGTAAAATCCGAATTTCCAAAAGTATTAACATTTTAAATATGACTGCTTTATATCTAGTAGGATGTTTAGGTTAAGAAGTCAGTTTAGGTTGTCAATATCTTATTATAAAATTGGATTTTGAGATTTTCGAAATCTTTAATTTCCGCATTTCGGTCATCTCTAGACCTAACGTTAATGAGTGTAATCGTCTCCACTTAGAATTAATAGACAAAGCGACCTGTAATAGGACAATGTAAGACGCATTATAACCCTATTTTTTTTTTACGACTGATCCTCTAACAATCACCTCCACACTACATCAAGTATCCCACGATAGAAAAAAACGAATTCGACACCTGAGCATATTATATTTTCGCTATTTTATCACTGTATTTACCGCATGATGTTGCATTGCGTGTGTTTGTGTGATTAGAGCATGGTGCGTTTATTTTTCTACAGCTAACACATGTCACATGAATAGTAACATAGAACAAATTACAAGAACACCTCAACTAATTCGTTTAAAAAGCGTATAGTCTAGTCTAATGCCCGTTCCTGTTTTAAACGTATAGGTTGTGCTTCACCAAGCTGAAACTGCTGTTGTTGGCCATCGAGATAAAGGGTGAGGACGGTCGAGACAGCAAGATATCAATAAACCCTAGGGGTTCAAAAATACAAGCAAGCACTCAGGGATTTTTCATCGCTCAGTCTGCCGATGAAGTTAAAAGGTTTGGATCAAATAGCTATGTTATATTCTATATGTTTAAGCGGTTTTGTTTTTAAATTCACCGTTGCCTAATAAATTCCTTCGTTCTCAATCACAGCTCACTTAAACACCACAACAGCGTTGATGGTGCTGTCTTGTTATATACACGTTGTATAATAATTGTCAATTCCTGTTTCCTTTTAGTAGAATAAATAAATAAAGCTTGATTTCTTTACAAAATTCTATACAACACAAATAACTCAATTAGACATTAAACAAATGCAAGATATATGTATTGTTTAAAATTCAATCAACCCTTTCTTCGTTAGTAACTACTTATAAAATGACAGCGTTTCGTTAAAAAACCACGTTAACTTCGAAGAATCGAGTTTATCAAATTATAGTTTTTTATGCATAACAAATTAGCTTTCTCTATTTATTCTACACATTTTATAGTAGTTCAATACAACGAACAAGATATTGAACATTTAGTATACTCAACGTAAACATAGTACAATTAAAAAACTGAATTAATTTTTTTTTTTTTTTAATCGCTTTACCTAATTTAAATATTCTATTCTGGCCATAAGAGTATACACTATACACTGTGTATTTTGTGTGCAATAAGTAATATTAGGGCCAATATATGTGTTTAGGGCATGGTATTATTGCAAAGCGTGTCACGAAGAAATTAGAGACGAGACATTGATTAAGAAATGCAAGTGCAAAAATTGTAAGTATTAAATGTTACATTTGACATTAGTTTATTATTATTTTCAATGTTTTATAATACTAAACTTTAAATGCACAATTTCATATCGAATTGGAGTAATATGACTGTATATCTTTTATTTTTCTTATTCGTCATAATAATAATATAATCATTTTAACTATTATTTCTATAAAGCCTCATTGCAGAAATTGTACATACAGTAAAATCGGTGCCACCCAAACGGCTCCCGTCGAAAAAGGTTTCACGAGTAGGTAAATTCCCAAACGGCTCCGGTATTCGGTACTACGCGTGTATTATCAAGTCTCTTTAACTTTTCAAAAAAACTTAAACTTAAATTTAAACCTGTAACCTCCTCCTAGACTGTAGCCTACAAACCTATGATATCTTTAGTTAGCGGAGCGAAGCGACGGCGCCGAGCGAGTGCCAAAACACTCGGAGACCTGCTGTCCTTATCAGTTATCAATAGGAATTCCGAATTTGGTAAAAGTGGTAGCAAGCCCTATTAAATCTATTAACATTTTTGAAAAAAATGATAGAAAATTTTTCGCTTTCATTACATAAAAAACTCGCTAACGAGAAGGAATTTGTGTTGTAAAAAACCGGAGCCGTTTGGGAATTTACCTTTTTGTAAAATGGGAGCCGCTTAGGAAAAACGGGAGCCGAATGGGCTACGTCCAGTAAAGTTACACAGGATAATATTGTTCTGGCCTATATAATATACCCTTTGTACTTGAAGTAGAATAATTTATGAAACGATTTATTATGCGTCAGAACAAATGACATTAGAACAACATGTTGTTTTTTCTTCAATATTATGACGCATATTAAACGTAAATGTTACATATTCAACTTTAGAAAACAAAAAAAACTTTATATAATACATATTTTGCACTCAGCGGTAGTATAAAACATTATGTAAACATTCGACGATACTTATAATATTAATACACAATACTGTCCACCACTTAAAAACTGCTCACGGCAATCACACGACTGACAAGCTTGGCAGCTTACTTTTTTGTTTTATACAATTCAGGCTTGGCAAAAATATACGTTTTTTTATAACAGTTATTTATTAAACTTAAGACAAATTGTTTTGAATGTGCCAATCCTGAAGTGTATGAAATACATAAAATATTATTGTAGTAGTGTTTTTTATTTATTTTATTATACAACAACGTAATAAAACACGCAGCATGTAGTAATGTAACAGGACTACTACACTACCTGTAAATCTCCCCTATAGATTTTGTGATTATTCCTATATAATATAGTCTATTGTAACATAATATTAACAATAAATACATTTACAATTCTCATCTATAAGAAATCATAATAATAAAATTAATATAAACAGAAAAATCTTAAAGACTATTGTTTTTTAAAATTTAACTACCTTGATACATAAACATATATTATATTATTACTTTCGAGAACTATAGAAATAGGCACCGTGTTGCAGATGTCGGTATGATTATGATGGAGACTGGAATGATGGCACATAATTATAATTTCGAGGGTACTTATAAATTAAGAACAAATTAGTTGTGCTTGTTTTTTTAAAAGCCTGCTTGTCTAAACGTTCCAGTTATTTTCTAATACATAATATTATAATATTTGATGAGTAACAAGAACTTATGTGAATAATTTATATATATTTTTTATTTTAGAGTTGAATAAAAATAATTTCATAATATAATTAAGTATAATATTGACACTGTAGTCGCTCACTCAAACAAAGTCCGGATTTATATGTCTTTAATTATTAAATTATGATTATGCCTACATTTGTCCTGCTAAAACAAAAACAGTGATTGCTAATCATATTATTTACCATTGACCTCGTAATGTTCACTTAATTTATCCAGTTAAATTTTAAGGATGACAACCATTTGCGATAGTCTATACAATATTATGGCTGCATAATAGTAAAATTAGTAATGATAAACTAACCGAATAAATTATATTATATATTATTATCGATTCGTATAATTATTATTTTACTGGCAAAATCACGCTTTTGTTTAATATTCTCTATACATTATCAATATTCATACATAGAGGTATAAATTTAGGCGTAAAAATCTGGACTTGGGTGTGCCTCTTCAAAAATACAAAATAGGTATTAACAACTAATTAAAACAATCCAGAGAAATTAAAAAAAATCGATCCTAAGTATTGTGTGACCAGCACTAAACAATATTATTTTTAAATGTTTTATATTATCTGTTTTTGGCGTGTATTTGGAATTAACAAATGTTTTCAGTAGCGTTTGATGAACTTTGAACACCCTAACAAAATAATTTTCTTATGTTTTTCAATTTTTGTTTGTTTTTTTCTAATTTAACACAGTGGCGACATTCCGGAAAGGCGTTCGCGCTATACAAATGGTCGGACGGGCAAGTACGTTCAAAATCTCCTTAAAACAATTTCTTGTTTGTTTACGAATTGGTGCCTTTTTGATTAATTTTTTTAGCTGTTTTTTTATAGTTAACAATACTGTTAATTATATTTATATATATTATACATAATTGTGTATTTATCCTCTTAATTTTGTAAATGTTCATGGGTTTTTTCTTCTGTATTTCTGTGTTGTTGAACGTTTTACAATGTGTGGTTTGTTTTGTTTTTATACGCTTACTACCCTCCAAAACATATAATAATCTTCCAAATACATAGTATTTTATATTTATTAAAAAAAAAAAAACAAAATTTATTCTTATTTGTTAAATAATAGTAATGAATATTACATAATAGCCCACTGTATTCGCAATTATAATTTTGTTGTACTTGTGATGTCTGTCCTCTAAAATAAAATACGATAAGTTTTGCGTAGGTAGTTATCAAAAAAATGTGAAAGTTTACAAGTTAATGTAAGTGCGTGTGTTCATTATTTACACAAGTAGTTTACAGCCATTTTAATGCGTGAAGTAAATACAATTTTTAAGCAGCAATATTGTAGTTTTAGGGGTGATCACTGCATGCTTTCTTATTATTGGACCATAACGTTATTATACATTTATTATTATCGGCAATACAGTATGTAGCTTGTGAATGAGTCTCATAGATAATTAAATATAATATTGTAGTTTAACAAAATACGTTAAAATAGTACAAGTACCAGTTGACCGAAAACGTCCACATAATGTTTTCGCAAGAATACAACAACTGTAAAATGTCCTTATTCTATACTTATAATACCAACACACAAATATAAATATAGAGTGTAACATTTCGAATATTATTCAAACTACTTTCGTGAATTCTCTTAGTTAGGTTGTCTTTTACTTCCTTAGTAAGAGAATAAGCAGCCTATGTCGGTCCTAGAACGGAGATTTCCTGGCGGATCCGCTATCCGAGACGGTTAAGAGGTTAGGGTAGGTTGATTAGGCAGGGTTTTTCAGGTCTCAGCAAACAGAACGCCTGACCGAGTGTTGAACCGGTGACAGTGAGCGCAAACACACTGCCACCTTAGCCACTCGGCCACTCGTCCTACTTGTTGTCTATTCTATTGTAATGTTAAAATATGATTGCCTATTTTCAAGTAAATCTTCTTGTGTTAGATGAACGGTTCTAGTTAGTAATACATTGAGTCATATTTCGTTTGGTTTAGGCCAACATATCGATGGTGACACGGCAAAAAGGTCTAAGCGACATATTTCATAGTTTTCAGGATGGCCGCTAAACGTTCTTTTTGTGATTTTACTAATTTTTTTTTAAGTTCCCAATACATTTTTTTTTAGTAAGAATTGGGAATTTTTCAATCATATAATTATATTATAATATATGTGAATTATAATATATTTTTCTAACCAATAGTATAAGCCGTGTCGCTTAGACTCTTTTGCCTTGTCACCATCGATATGTGGAACTTCACAACAGCATAATTTTAAATTGAATGAGTACTTTTAATTTTTGAGTGCTTATACATATTATCATTATACTGACTGTTCGAATTAATGTCATTGAATTTGAATACTTTAGTGCATACATCAGTGCATAAATATTATAATTCTGATACCATGAGTATATCATATCATTGGCAAGCTGCCATGCGAATAACATGCGGCCACGGACCACTGGTATATACTATACTTGTGTATTAGGAGTTAATTACAATGCAATGCGTTACAAGAAACCAGAGTATTTTTATAAGCGTGTTTGTGTGTTTTTGTACTCGCTGAAATAAGCATGTATAGAGATTTGCATGGTGATTTTTTTTTTGTGAAACCAATTTAATTAACGTGCAAAATTTGACGAGAAGAAGTAAGTGATCACGTGGATGATTTATATTGATGTGCGGTTTTCGGTCCTTATTAAATCGAGAGCCATTTGCATAGCGCCTATTAAATCGAAAACAGATTCTTTATCGAAGATTATCCTACTAATATATTTTTTTCATTGTGCCAATACAGCTTGTTTACGTAATTTTCTTAACTCAATTTGTACGAACAAAAATTAACATTAAAATAACGTTAATTTACTTGAATCAATAATAAATAGGCATTGTCTATCTATAGCATCTAATAATATTTCTATTGTTATACTAAGATTAAGATAAACAATGAACAATTGCGAAATTCGATATAGATTGACAAAGTTTATTTCTCAAACTTACGGTCCAGTAAAAATTGCTTTAATACACAGCTAAGAACCTATTGGAGGTGTAGATTAATAAATGTCAACATTAATTTGCATATAAAATCAATAAATACTCCTTTGACTCTCACGGTAGATTTCTGGGCCAGCCATTCCCCTTTGAGTAAATTTGTATTTTCATGCATCGGGATAATATGGGACAAGCATAGTAGTAAAGTTGTACAAATGCTCAACATCAATCTTCGATAAGGAATCTGACAGCCGTCCACGAAATATTTATAAAATGCACGCATATAATGTTTGTGAATGGAAATAAAAAATGAGGTTATGTTAAGCGTATCCTTATAAACATAACGCATAAATTATGGTTAGTGAATTTGGAATGTATGTTCTTTCAGACGATCATCCTCCCCCCACGGAAACTCCACCAACTCTTCCAAAGAGAGTACATAATATCAGAGGTACAACAATAAAAAACAAAAAACCGCTGTTGCTTTTGCCTTGAACTTATTTATTATATGCATTGTTTCTTCGATGTGGCACTTTTCATTCCTTCCTTATTTTTCTTTGTTCATCCCTCACGCGTTATTGTCACAATAAATAAAACTTGGCACTTTTTTTGTGTGTATATATAATTTTATACATACACAACTATACATATTAATTGTTTAACAAGAAAGTTTTTTTTTTTTACAAATTTCACAAACAGCATAGCATCGTTTTTTTGTTTTGATCCTACTGTCCCAAAAATATGCATCTTATTGACGTATTCTCAGTTTGTGAAATGTATCATACCAAAACGAAGCCCAGAAAAAGTCTGTTCAATAACATAAATAACTGTTTGTTTGATTGTAGACTTAAATTTATTTATATGTTTTGTTTTTAATTCTAATATTTATGTAAATTATACCTACATAAAAACTATATAGATCATAATAACAATACTTATTTTTTTCATTATCTCTTTTGATTAAAATTGTTATTTATTTTAATATCTCTTAAACCGCGGTTTAACTCTATTTTTTGTCTGCTTGAAGTGCGCTAGCCTTTATCTAGCATAATTGTATTATAATTATTATTGTTATTCGGTTTTGTTGATTTCGCTTTGTGTTATAAGTATCTTTATATATTTTTTGGTTATGATGTGGTTTTGTACTTGGGTATTTGACGTTTCTTACTATTAACATAACAAACGCTTTCTAACGATATTTGTATTTTTTTTTGTTTGTTTAACATTTTCTCAGGTGACGTTGGAAAGGATAAGGAAATAACGCGTAAGTCGATACATTAAATTTATCATATAATTAATATGGTAACTATTTTCAACACAATACTTTGCCTCGTGTTTAAGGATTAAGCTGTTATTACGGTTTTGTGATTTCTGTGTCCAGAAAAAAATCTCATATTATAATATATAAAAAAGAATATATCTAACATTACCTTAGATTTGAATAAAAGTACACACCTAAATCAATTTTAATTGCGGTAATAAAATATATTCATTTTTCTAATATTTTAATATTGATATCAAGCTTAACTATTGTTTGGTTTTTCTCGCATCTCGTTAAATTATGATACTTTTTTATTGATGAACTATATCACTATGAAATATTAATATAATCACCTCTTAGTTAAAAAATAAGTTATTACAGCTATAGTCGTAACAATATGGACAGTAACATAAAATATTAATTTGATAATGTAATTTTGTGTGAGCTATTTTTTTTTCAACACTAAACGAAAAGTTTTAGCATTTAGTAGTTTATATTTTAATGAACGGCAATCAAATTTTTGTAATGCAAACCCACACTGTCATAGTGAATACTTTAGTATGAAAAAAATAATTTATTAAAACTCAAATAAAGCTTTTTTCTAGAAAAAACTTTAGCGACTTATGCTTATATATAATAAAGAAATTAATATTTAAAACTCTTAACCATTAAATAATACTCTCTTTCCGTATTTCGGCAAAAATGTTGTCGTCTTCAGCGCTAACGACAGACTGAGGCAAAATATTGGGGCTAGGTTTGTTGCGGAACATTTATTGGATACTAATCATAGCATTAAATCTATAAAATTACTAAAAAATGTAAATAACTCTAAATAGCTGAATTTAAAGAGGCAGTATAAATGTTGAAAAATAGAAACAATTTGTTGAACTGGGACTTAAGTCCAATACAAAGCATTTTATTAAAGTTTATAAAAAGTGTTGACGATGAGTCATCATTTCAGGTATGACAACGCTGTATATGTACATAAGGAGTTCGCCTGTAATCGGTCTCAGTCATAACTTTGATAAAATGCTTTGTAATGGACTTAAGTCCCAATTCAACAAATTGTTTCTATTTTTCAACATTTATACTGCCTCCTTATTATTAAGCTCTTTAGAGTTATTTGCATTTTTTAGTAATTGTATAGATTTGATGCTATGATTAGTATCCAATAAATGTTCCGCAACAAGAGATTTGTGTACTTCATGGTTTTTAATGTTCCTTATGTGTTCTTTAAACCTAACCCAATATTTTGTCTCAGTTTGTCGTTAGCGCCGAAGACGAAAACATTGTTGCCGAAATACGAATACGGAGAGAGTGTATTATTTTATGGTTAAGGGTTTTAAATATTAAAGCTTTTTTTTTAACCTATTCGGTTTTATCATTATTGTCTACAACACATAATGTATAATCGACTTCTTTCCTATATGCCATATAACTATAGCAAATATTAGATTAATACATAATATTACATATCATAGATTAAAGTCATGATATGAAGAATATAAAAAATATCCCATAATAACTATACTATAGAACTTTTTTTATGACTTTGGAAGTTACCATAGGTATATAAACGAATAAGGTAATTAATACGAAAGTTATTTAGTACGCAAACTTTAAATATTACAGTGTACTTTTAAACGACCCGGCAAAGCAGATTAGGGTGTACGTTAAAACTGTAAGTAATAATTTTTATTGCACGACGTTACGCGTGGCAAGTCCGAATAGTGTGAGACAGGATCAAGGCATAGCTAATGGACTGGCTACAGCTGTTGTTGGCGGTCAGGTGATATTTGATAGGGTTTGTACTTGGATGTGAATCGAGAAGAAGATTATAGTGTGCGAAAGATAAATTGCCTGCCGGCGGTGTTTTGGACAGTTTTAGTTGCTGATGCGTGATTGCCAGTTAAGGCGGAAGGCGCTACAACGAATTGAGTAGAGGTAGAGAAAAATAAGATTGATCCGATATTGTGGGTAAGGTAGTAACGTAATATCGAATGGTTGAACGGTGGAGATCGATGTAAATGGGTTGACGAGGAAAATTAGATAAAGTGAAGATTTTGTTTTTTTATTTACTAGTTCATAAATGTTATTTTTTTAGTTAACCAATCGTTTAGAGTAAAAAAAAAATGTGTTCTATTTTTCAGTGATGAGTAACAAAAACGGAACGACCATACCCAATTCGATTATGTCTGTAACAAAACAAGTGAACAAAGTGAAACCCATCAATCGTCCGACGGACAAGGGATCTCCAAATCAGACTTATAACAATCGGTGAGTTTTTTCTATTTTATTATATTTTTTTTAATGTTATTATTTAGATATATTATATAGTTTACTTCTAGAGCGTTTAACTTAACATTTGATTCAAAGCTAACTTTCTAACACTTTAAGTATGTCTAAGAGTCTAAAACGAATGTACCTATTTGTGTTCTAACGCATTTGTTGTGAATTAACTTTTTTACGGTCGGTCGTGTTGAACATTATTACAGAACACAACAAGACGAAGGAAGCTACGCCGGTTACCAACTTGCATACGAAGTCAAAAAACTCTTGTACGCCATTTTTATGATATATTTCTTTTTTCGCTTTGTCTTGCTTTTAACTTTAGAATAATATGCTTTTGGTGATGGCTTTATTCAAAAATATCGATCCTTTGGTTGTCGGTATTACAATTATGATTTATTTGATTTATTGTTACACTATTTAAATTTGATTTTTCAATATTAGGTAATTCAATTTTGATATGCGCATCAAATGCAATCGGTACTACCTAGTTTCGCCAATGATCATTGATCATTCGCATAACTTTAATTTGTTTGTTATAAAATCTTAGCGAACTTATGTTAAAATTTAAATACACTTACTTTGCAATAAGCAATTAAATCAATTTTGAATAGTGCTTATAGAAATTATATTAGCAATTAGAGTTATATGTATTATTTTATTTTAATATGAAAGTATGGCAGATAATTAGGTACCTATCCAATGAAAACCAATTTAAATTCCTCTGCATGTGACTGTGCTATGGGAAGAAAAAAACATGTTTTCTCTATATGTTCAAGAGATAAAATTAAACATTTTTTATTCAACTAAATAATCTGGAACATACAGTAATAATATTTATCCATGTTTTTGTTAGGTTTTTTGCAAGAATTTAGTTTTATATGTAGTTTTGTGATAAAACATAATATATTTAATTGTCACGTGCCTAGTTTGTTATTTTATAAAAAGCGAAATAGTAGGTAGCCTGTTGTAATTAAACTTGATTTGAATAAGCTTTTAAAGGTTTTTATATTTTATACAATTGTAATGTCGTCTTTCATATTAATACTTTTTTTTTTAATTTTGTTTATAAGGCCTACCACTCGAGGAGGATCAGCCGGCACAAACATGAGTAATAATGGTATTCAAATAGGAATTGCCGACGATCAGGCAAAAGACTTTGATTTTGAAAAGACTGAAATGAAATACGACTCAACCGGTATGTTCCATTGGAGTTCAGCAAAAAGTCTGGAAGAATGCATTCTAGTAAGTGTATATAAAATTAAATAATTTAGTTAAACTAGAATAAACTAGAATAAACTTTAATAAAAATAAAGTACATAAAATAGCGGTTCTGGGCAGAATGGAATTCGGTGACGTCCTCACCAAAACCACTATTTATTTACCTAAGGGATTTCCCTAAAACTATTTGTACGCCCTTTTGAGTGTATATATTACAAAGTAATATGTTGTAAGCTTTCTACCACACGTGTATTTTTTATATTTTATCGTTACTTATATCAATACATAAAGAAGTGACAATTTTGCAACATACATTTTTTCGAATACTGTACAATGCTTTGAGTTAAATTACTCGATTTTGAATTAAAATAACAGACATTTTTATAAAAATCTATTATTTAATACGATATTGTTTGGATTTCCTCATATCATAATATTAGCCGTTCAAATGTTCATAAACAATCATAATTTTTTCCCGCTGTCGTTTAAAATGTATTATTTGTTGTTCTCGAATTTATTATTCTTTAACAATTTGAAAACTAGACATTCAAAAATACGTTGAAGAAGGTTTCAGTATAATCTCCTAGGGTTTACCGTCAGCCGAGATATTTAATGATTTTAATCTAATTCGACTAGTTTATTTGAATAACTTTCAACGTTTCATCAATCTGAGGAGAGAGTATATTTGGTACTTCTTCTTAACCTCATAATTTATTTATGTTATTTTCATCTTCCATCACAAAACTGTAGAAAGAATTAATTTTGTGTATTCGGTTATTTTATATTTTCAATTTAAATGCCACTCAAAGTGATCATTTTGTCGTGTAATAATTGTGGTTCCAATGATGATTAAAATGCAGTTTTGATGTTTTTGTAAAACCAGGACAGAAACCAAGCGGCCATGACGGTGTTAAACGGCCATGTCGTGGTGTGCCTGTTCGCCGACCCAGACTCTCCGCTGATCGGACTCAGGAACCTGGTGATGCCGTTGAGGGCGTCGAATTTCCATTATCATGAGCTGAAGCACGTGGTCATTGTCGGCGCCGTGGACTACATCCGCCGCGAATGGAAGATGTTACAAAACTTGCCGAAAATCTCCGTTCTCAACGTAAGTAGTGATTTGTGTTTGATTTTCGGCAAAACACAAAATACAAACTGCTACTTATTCCAGGGGTCGCCACTCAGTCGTGCCGACTTGCGTGCGGTTAACGTTAACCTGTGCGACATGTGCGTGATATTGTCGGCAAAAGTTCCTAGCAACGACGATCCTACACTGGCCGACAAAGAGGCCATTCTGGCGTCGTTGAACATCAAAGCGATGACTTTCGACGACACCATTGGAGTGCTCACACAAGGTTAGTATTATACTGTTAAACACAGGAAATTACTATTAACGCCGCGGTTTTTTAAATCCTCCAAACGAGTTTTAAAGAACCCTTTGTAATAGTGTGACAGTTATTATGTATTTGACCTCAATAAAAAAAAGCCATGTCTAAAAAAAAAAAAATACAAACATTTAAATAAAAAAGTATTTGCGACCAGCTTATTTTTCGCTTGTCCGGGTATAGAGCTCAGGAAGCTCGCTACGCCCTATTAAATAAATAATTCATGAAAACATGTAATTTATAAAATATATATTACCTTCTTCTTTTTTTTTTATTTACCATACTAATAAATAAAAAAAGTTTCTTATCCTACGAGAGTGATGACGAATCCTCTATACTTTTTTTTACCGTCATCAAGTCCGTCCAAGTCTACCGTGGCAACATATTTTATCATTCACTCAACCTTTTACCGTTTTGTATTAAACGAATTGTAATCGAGAAGTATACGTAATACTGTGATAATAAAAGTTTTTATCGAAATATTATGCAGACGAAGCTGTGGTGACCAAGCAGTTCGATACGGAAGGTCTTAACTGTGCCGGTGGCCCTATTGTACTGCAAAGACGAGGGTCGGTATATGGGGCAAACGTGCCGATGATCACCGAGCTGGTCAATGACAGCAACGTTCAATTTCTCGACCAAGACGACGACGACGACCCTGACACCGAACTGTACCTCACACAACCATTTGCGTGTGGTACCGCCTTTGCCGTCAGTGTACTGGATTCGTTAATGTCAACGGTAATGCGAAAATTATCAAATAAGGGCCGTAATTTAAAAATTTTAAATATTTCATGTTACTTGCAAAATTAATTATTATTAATGTTCTTTACGCAAAAGTAACATTTTTATATTGTCCACCATAACACGTAAATTTATTTTTCCAAGTATATTTACAGTCTTGAAATATGAATCTAGCCGGTTGGCAGTTAATTGGTCCATATTATGGAATAAAATCAAATATAATATATTTTTTCAGACGTATTTCAATCAAAACGCCTTGACACTCATCCGATCATTGATAACCGGCGGGGCGACTCCCGAACTCGAGTTAATTTTAGCCGAAGGTGCAGGCCTTCGAGGTGGATATAGGTAAGTTTCGACTACTGTATAAAATTATAGATTTCTATTTTGTGAACAAAAATTAAACTACCAATAACACAATACCAAAGCTAGAGTAAAACGTGATACAACTGTTTAAAACAAAACTGCTTTGGTAAATTGGTTGTTTTATTGTATCACTAATAACAAGTTATAATATTTTTAACGGCCAAAATATCGGGTTATGAGCTTTTAGTTTGTATATTTTAAATATTTTACATTGCGCACGCATATTCCACCTCATAAAACTTAATTCGAATTGACCAAATTGAAAAGGGTCAACAACAAAGTAATTCGACCATATATTTTAACCGTAAAGTTAAAATGGGGTGAATAAATAAATAAATTATAGTTGAAAATTAAAATATATAACGAAAGCGTTTCGGCCATGAAAGTTAAACCTTTTTTTTGAAATAATTTGTTTTCACAAGTTTTTTCTTTTTCTACCTACTAATACTAGCTCACGTGAAAATTATTATCTACAGTTATATTTTCTCTTTTATTTTTGGACCTTTTAAATATTAGTTAAAACCGATAATGTTTGCGTGTAAAAATAAATGTTAAACAACGGTTTTTCTATACATAATTATCTAGTGGTATTCATTATAATGTAAAATTCGATTGTAATTTCTCACACACAGTTCCGATAGATTCAAAGTATTTTTTTTATGCCGTATATCTTATGTGATGTGTTCTTTCTGTAAATTGTTTTAAGTATAGTCGGTTGGACAACATTTATTTAAATAAAGAATAACTAAAACAAATCGAATAACTTATTTAATACAAATATTATAGAGTATTCGATAATTTTTTGATAATATATTTAAATAAATAGTTATTTGAATAATCTGTTATTTTTTCAATAAAAAAATATCCAACTCTTGAGTATAATTATGCAAAACGTCTGTTGTGTAAAGTTTATCTTTAGGCAATTTGATTAGTCTTTTTATTTTTAGTCTTAAACATAGATTGATTTCCTCTTGATGTGCATTGTATGTTTGTTACTATTGAGTATTCTACTAGAATAGTACGTTAGGTTAGGCTATACTGAAGAACCGTATATTATATTTGCATGAACACTAAAAGAGCGGATAAAGTCCTTTTTGTAAATACGTTACTGATTTACATCCAATTACATTTAGTTATTAAATTATACAGGGCAAAATTTCATGTTACACTTAATGAACTTATGTTACACATCAGGTGTACCATGAAATTCTGAGAGTCCTGTACTAGTGTTAAAAGTGTTGCGTTTTGTATAAAAAATAATTGCCATCTCGTTTATTGTAGTACTGACGAGAGTCTGGCCAATAGAGACAGGTGCAGAGTTGGACAGATTTCGCTGTACGACGGCCCTTTAGCTCAATTCGGTGAGGCCGGCAAGTATGGCGATCTGTTCGTTTCTGCTCTGAAATCGTACGGGATGCTGTGCATTGGACTATACAGGTACCGGTATGAAAAACTAACTATACATGTTTTGTAGTTTGTGAAATTAACATTAGAACTAGTGCCGTTAAAAGGGGTTTTGCTTAATATTATTAGTTTGCTACAAAAATTGCCCCACACTTCTGTAAATAAATTGTCATGAAAAATCTCTCATTTCGAATTTAAGTTCTCAAACTAACTTAATATAAATTTTAGTATTATGAATCTTGTGATTTATTGGGGGTTTTTGTAACAAAATCAAATAATAACAGCTATGATGTGAACGTTAAGTATTTGAATGATTGGATCTAATGATAAGCGATAATTGGGCTTGTCCCGTAAAAAATAAAATTAATAATGAGAGTCGAGACTAATGTACGAGTTAGGTAAGTTTTAGAGAAAGGAGACAAATGATTCGATGAGAAAGTCAAGAACTAAGAGTAAAATTACGTTGATGTAGAGGTCGGCTAATGACGAAGTGGGACGATTCGTTAAGGGACTTAATATTGAGGAGGGGTGTGGGCGAATTGAGACCTGCTGTTAGAGTGGATTAAGAGAACAAACATAGCTGACCCCATTAGTATGGGATGAAGTAAGTTAGAAATATATCGGACTAAAATTGTTATACTGCAGTTGTTCCATCGAACCAATTACTAAAACCAAATATATATATTAGAGTGTCCCTTATTTTGGACTTTTTCAAAATGTCATGCTCCCAAGGTCCTAAACTAGTCTAGTGGGTGAAAAAAAAAGGCCTAAAAGTTTCACCATCCAAATTCGAGATTTAACGCTGTGAAGTTTCCCATAAGAATAACATGGGATTATCGACATTTTTTTCAATATGTTCTAAAGATAAAAAAAAAATCTTAAAAAAATGGGACCAACGTGAGTCACTTGTGTATAACAAGAACTTTTACTGAAAAATTAAAAAATGAATTAGTCGGCCATTTTGCGCGTATTCAGAGTCAAAATATCGAGTTTTCCAGCTAAATTTCCGGTTTTTTCATATATTTTTTTGTTACGGCATATATAGGCAATATTATCATTTTCTCGCAGGCGAAACAAATGATTGATTCCTATGAATGTACATTATTTTTATCATAGCAAGAATATATTGTTACATTTCATTCATATATATGTACATATGTTCTATATATGTCGTAACAAAATAAATATATGAAAAAACTGGAAATTCGCTGGAAATCTCGAAATTTTGACTCTGCACATGCGCAAAATGGCCGACTTATTATTCATTTTTTAATTTTTCAGTAAAAGTACATGTTATACATGAGGACTCACGTTGGTCCCATTTTTTTAAGATTTTTTTTTTATGTTAAGAAAATATTGAAAAAAAATGTCGATAATCCCATGTTATTGTTATGGGAAACTTCACAGCGTTAGCGGCACGGGTAAAAATTGAGTTAGGGCGGTGAAACTTTTTGGGCCTTTTTTTTTTACTCACTAGACTAGTTTAAGACCTTGGGAGCATAAAATTTCGAAAAAGTCCAAAATAAAGGACACTCTAATATATATATATATATATTATATATACATATAATGTATACCATTTTAATACCAATAGCCTATTTTTTGAAATAGCTAGGCTTTACGAGTTTTATTTAGAGGGTTATTTGTGCATGCTTGTGACGTGTATTATTTTTCAACAACACTGTAAATCCGAAAATAACAACTCCGTAAAAGCATCCTGCCTTATCGACTTTCTGAGTGATGTCTTAGCTAACTATCTATAATGTACGGTTCAGGGCTACGCACATTAAAGTTTACAACGGGTGTTTGGTTTCAGAACCGAAGTTTTTATTCCAATGTCAATCGGACCCCTTTTAACGTACACATGTATTGTCTTTTTTACAAAGCATTTATAAAATATATTTGTAAACATATTTTAAAATGTATCTAACGATCGCTTGTGTTTGTTGTGTCCATTTTACTCCATTTGTTTCGTTTGATTGTGTGTATGTTTGCGGTAGGTAAATACTATGACGAAAGTTTTGACTTTCTTCGACATAACAATACACAAGAACGTCACCGTTCTTATTCGATTGTTTTTACGTTTTTTTTTACAGATTCAGAGACAGAAGCTCGTCCTGTGATGCATCATCCAAACGATACGTCATCACCAACCCGCCAGATGACTTTTCCCTCATGCCAACGGATCAGGTAACTGTGACTGTTATTAAACTATACAGGTTCCTAATTAACAAATTGACTCGGAACTAGCTAATGTTTTTTTTAAATTCTTTTATTGCGATTTAAAAATGCATGTATAAAGTTAACTACATACATGCAATGCCGGAGCGCAAAGGTGTAAGTTTAGGTTTTGGAATAAAATAATATTATAATCTGTGTGGTTCCTCCGTCAGCTGTTCGTTCACATGCAAACGGTCACTTAAAAAGTTTCAATTAAACTGCGAGACAGCTGTCGCGTGTGTAAATTTATAGCATGGCTCGTAGGCAATTTAGATTTTGATATTCTATTTTTAAATGCACTACTCAAGCTGGCGGTCACTGTCTTTCCGAGGTTTGGCCGTCGACCAAGTTCAATGCTTGACTGCTATTGCACAAGCACAATTTTTGTTCATTCAAAACTCGTCGTAACTTTATCGTAAATACGAATCTTATTAATTATAATTTTCTTTTGAACACTGTACAGGCAATTACGTTCGAGTAAAATGCACTCGATTAATGATATACGCACCTGAACTAATTTTTTTTTTAAATATAATTTGATTTCGAACAAATAAATGACCTATCGAAAAAAGAGTCATAATTACTGATCTAACAGTTATACATCACAGATTAACTTTTAAATTAATATTTTGCAAAAAATTGCCTCTATCTAACTCCCTAATAAATAGGGTGTGAGATGTCCTCTTAACGTGTTATTTTTTTTAATTTCCATTTGTTAATAACATTGTATAAATATTAGTAAATTGTAATTTTTTGGAATGTAACTAATTTTGAATGTATGATTTGTTCCTCTTAGGTTTTCGTTTTAATGCAATTTGATCCTGGGCTCGAGTACAAACCAACCAGCAGAAACGGCGGTCGGGTCAAAGACGACAACTCCTGACTATTGCTTTGTAGCGCTCTCACAGACGGTCCGTACTCGTACATATAAACCGCCGTTGGGTCAAGCGACCACTGAAAAGTTTAAATAATAATATTATGTTCAGTAAAGCTCAACATTTCGAACAACCGACACTCCGAAGCTGTGTCCTATTATTAAAGCGTCGTTAGTCACAGGACTTTTTTTGAAATTGTTTACCAAATATTACATTTCAACAAACGAACTGTGTCAATTTCCGAAATGATTCGTTGACTAAAAAATACACAGAGTAGCCTTCCTATCGCAGGGAATAGCACCGGCTAACACGCGTTCAAGTGGGATAAACGCCGAAAGCGATTGTGCCCATATTGAACTCGTGTTATCCGTCGCTACTTGTAACAACAATTATTAGTATACAATTTTTAAATATTTCCAAACTGTTGTGAAATGAGTTTTCAGTATTTTTAAAATTATGTTTTGACATGAAATTTACTGTTTTGAAAATGTTCTTTACAAAATGTTATATATAATCATATTTAAATAATATTTTTAATTAACATTTTTGAAATACAGAATTTCGTGTCAAAATGTCATTATAAAGTATTTGAAAAATATTAAAAACACGTTTGTCAACATTTTGGAAATATTTAAATGTTTTTTTTTTCTGTTTGGACGTCTACTCGGTATGTTATAAAACCGATCGTCTTAGTTGAGGGAAAGCGATCTAATCTGTAGTTTAAATTAATTTTTGTATTTTATATACCTATATTTTTTTAGTCGGGGTCAACTATATTGTTCTTGATTCGGGGGGAAGCAACATTAGATTCATATTATTTTTGTATTGAGAGTCTGTAGTAAAATATACCTATTTCAGTGGTTCGCTAAAGAACCTATCGAAGTGGCGAAGATAAAAAAGTATATTATATTATGTCGAGTGCAAAACGGAATCCCAGTGGCTGCGCTACACATCTCGTATCAAATCCTTGTACATAATATATTATTATAATAATAGAAAAATTGTGTATAGCAAACGATTGTTGAAAATTCTCATTGTCACTTCATTATTATCATACGACACGCTAAAAACTGTACGACTTGAAAAAAGCCACCTAATCGAAATGTAAAGGTCTTTTATATAGCTTTAATTATACCCTCTATAATTAATGTGTTTGTGATGCCCACCAAATACTGTCGAAGTCAGTATTTTCAATTCGATGTAATAATATTAATAGGATAAGAATATATATTATTAATCTGTACACACAAACTACGAATGTAATACCTATTATGATGTTATAGTACCTTCATATTTGATGGCGGATACTTAGTATATTGTATAATTTAGTACATTATAATGATTTTTGTGTATATATACCGAGAGAAAGATAATTCAATGAATTATTCAAAAGAAAAGTTCCATTTTAATTATCATAAAACAAAAAAATCGATTTTTCAGTAATATTATACTAATACAGTTGGATCACGAAGATTCGACAGATTTGTATGCAATTTGTGTTTGTAAATTTGTTGAATCCTCTTGATCCGTGTTGTGAAAATTCTAATAGCCAATCTAATGTCAAAAATTGCATCGGCCAAATTTAAAGAGGCACTGTAATTTTGCATACTAGAGCGGCTAATCGATGTAGTGTAATCGACACGAAATCTGTCATACGTTGTTATATTTGTCAACGATATTTTTTTGTTTTATGAAAATTAAGTACATACTATTATTATAATACAAAATTTAACACATTTTTCGTAAATCGGTTTTGAAGACGTTTAGCCCATAAGCGTTAAAAAATATTAATAATTATTGATATGTAAATTATTATTATATATATTAATTTCAAACATAATTTTGTACACTGCGTTACCGAATTTATAATTGTATTTCAATAGTCTGAATGTTATCTTTTTCGAAGGAAAAAACAAAAATAATTGTTTTGTTTGTGAGCAGCTATGTATTATTATTATCATAATGTTTAATATTATTACTATTATTATAATTTGTACTATTAATATTATTATCTACATTATATTATTAGTAGGTACGATACATAATTATAAATTATTATTATTATAATCATAAACGGCGGCTGTTTAATTTAATATTACGTTCTTGTTAAAAAAAGTAATTTATAATATTTTCGAAAAAAAAAAAATCACTAAATCAGCACTAAAGTCAGTTTTTTTTATACACGCAATATACGCGCGAACTTAGAAATAAAGTTCAGACAAAATGAAAAAATACAAAAAAAAAAGTTATGGAGAACAATTAGTTTGTTTATAAAATTACAATAATTATTATTGTTAAAATCACAGTTTCTATAAAATAAAATATTTATTCATAGCTGGCGGATCCGGCGAGCTTACGGGAAGCTTGTTATCATTCGATACTATATTTTTTTTATTGTTGCAAAGCGTTTTACACATTATAATAATTATCATCGTCATCATCATCATCATTATCATACTACTATTATTATTATTATTAGGTGCATTTTTTTCAATCAACGATTAGCAGTATAAAAAAATATACAAACAAATTTAATTTATTTTTGGCTTTCCAAGACAATCATAAGTATTTCTAAAGATACAAAAACGTAATAATTGTCATTATATGCGCAATAGCCACCTTAAACATATTATCTTATCCTTCTGACCTGCATATTGCTTTCTTAAAGTGAAATATAATTATATTGTTGTACGTATAACATTGTTATTCTATATTGTACCTAATATATCATAAATATATTATGATATATCTCGCAAATTAAAATCATACTGTCAAATTTTTTGTTAAACGTAAATCCCACAAAGTGTTAATTACAAAACTTTTTTTTATAAAAGACAAGTTTTTTAGTACTTAGTAACTTACATAAGTATCGCTTGACGTCATCAACGTTTTGTTTTGTTTTGTAATATTGGTTATGTTTGAAATTATTGTTGTTACATAATAATTATTGTTGTTTATTGCTAAATTGAAAAAAAAAAAATGAAATAATAAAAAAAACAAATGATATAAATATGTTTGTTATTGTATTTTTTTTTAACCATTTTGGAAAGTTTAATGTTGAAAGTCGACTTTGATGTAACTGCTAACACTATGTTATTTCAATTTAATTGTTTACAATTATTGTGTACAATTGATAATGGTAATAAGTACACTGTACATGTATTATTATGTACAAGTACTACGAAATTATTAATAAGTTGAATGTGGGTATGTGAAGGTTATACAGTCTTTTTGAATTGGTCAAAATTAAACAATTTTGTCGACTAACGTCAATGAATATTAATCCGATTGTAAAATTTGTAAATTTTCATTACAATTATACCGATTTTATTAGCGTCGAAACTATAAACAATATGTCTGAATGCTATACCGTATCATGAATAAATAATAATAACTTAGAGTCTCCAATTTCTTGATTCACCACTAAAATCATAACTATACTTATATAACTATACATGATAATATAAGGTGCTATTGAAATGCTCATGCTTTGTTCGGATTATAAAAAAACCGCCAAAAAAATATTTTTTAATTTTTTTAAATGCATTTATTTATTATATAGTATTATCTATATAGCGTGCATGTATTCGAAGATACACAATAATAACATTAAAATAACATATTTATGACAGTAATTCAATTATATAACAAAATATAAAATAATAATTATAAAACAATTTTTTTTTTTACAGTTTTATCAGAACCATTTTTTTTTACATTGTTATTATAACACAGGTCACTGGGTGCAATATCGCATGATGAATAAACGAACACTTGGTTACAATAACACGTTGCTTTTTATGTTTATTTACGTGTCAGTTATTACAAGGAGTAAATATGTGGAGACGGTTTAGCTCAAATAAGCTACGTCAATCACACGATATTCCGGCGATAATAATGAACTTTATACATTTTACAAAAAGAGGGTTTTATTTTTTATTGAACATTGAATATACAACTAAATGTGGGTTTTGGGACGAATGACGGACAGCTAAAGTTAGAGCCTATAAACCTTAATTGTCCGGAGTTCTGAAAAGGGCCGTTTTATCTGTTACCCGTACATGCAGTTTATGGCGGAGTTGTATATTTTTAGTATAATAAAACGTGTAATTCCAATATTATTTACAAGAAAATTGATACCAAAATAGTAAGTTATTTCATTACAACGTACAATTTTTTATATTTAAAAATAAAAAAAAACACTTCCCCTGTAATGACTACTGTGAAAAAGTCGTTATTGATTTCAGATAAGCAAATGATAAATTATACTTTATTGCAGTACTAAATATGGAGCTTATAAAAATTCAACATGGCTATTTATGTAGCTAAAAGTATGCCCATAATATTATTTTATGTTGGATCCAAAGTCAGTGGATTCTTGTTGGACTCCGAGAACAAAGCGTGAAAATATATATTTTGATTAAACTGTGCGAGTTTTCGACACGTGAAACGAATAAAATGCCTTTGGATTTTAATTATTAAAACGACACGAAAAATCGTTTCGTAAGTCTGGAACGAGCTCGTTTAATTGAAAACGTGATATAATTTTTATAACACATTTGCGTTTTTTAACCCCTTCCGACATTTTATTACACTACCAACTGCCAAAGTAACGCTATACCGTTTTCGGTCAATAAACTTCAATAACTCACAGCTCTAAAATTCTACTCCACATTATTAAAACTGCATCTTTTGGCTTTATGAATGGAGAATAATGATTCTACTGTATTAAACTCGATAAAATGATCTATTATTAAGGGATGCCCATGCAATACAATTTACTACGGTTAGACAAGTTATGTTCTGCAAATAACGTTTGAAAAAATATTTTAAATTTGTATAAAATTGTTAACTTTATTCATTCTAAACGTTTTTCTTAACTTTGATATTCATTATTGAAAATTTGGTTAGTGATTTAAAAGTTATTATCTTAAAAAGCCACCACAGTAGTGGCGTCGGAGCATAGTGAGATTAATTTGAACAAATTATCATCTAGGCTATTCTGTAACTTTAGTTCTTGCTTATTATATACATTCATAACGTATCGTTGCACTAACTTTTTAAAACAAATAGCTTTTATCCGATAGAATTCTATGTCAGCAAAGTGCATATCTATGTCTTTTTCCATTTTAACTAAATTTTCTGTCATTCTAAATACATTATACTACAACCGCAAACTCATGATAACCGAGTTTAATTAACACGTAGGAGTATTAAAAAAGAACAAAAATGTATCTTGAAGCATAATATTGTTTTTCGACCGGACTCGAATTACTTATATTATTTAATCGACAAGTTATGTTGAGTTATAGTTATTTTATGGTAAAAAGTAGGTACGCAATATAATAAATGGTGATAAAAAAAAAAAATCGGCACGTGTAGTATATTTATGATTTCATTTCCTTATGGAAGTCGGCGCGAATTGCAGACATATGTGTACATCGAATGCGAGCAGATTCGTTTTGCAATAATAGGAGCATGCAGGCCGTTTAATAGAAGCAGGGTGAAAATGGCTTGTTTCAAACGAAGACGAAGGGTCAGCATGCTGTATATGTCATAAATGCATAAAATATTGTTCGCGTTATTATAACAAATATTCTAGAACCGAATGTCAATAAATATCCAAAAAGCTACCATCCGATTCATGATACATTGCTTCAACCTCGACCTTTAGTGTTAAGAATAATTTCTCGTCCCCGATGCACATAAATTACACCGTTTCGTGCCGCGGCAACAATCCTTTGCCTAGCCAACCATCTACTCCGTGAAAAAAATATTAGCTTCATAAACTGTGTAATTTATATAAATGTTGTATAGGTTTTAGTATATAATATTGTTGTATACGAGTTATAACTTCCAACCGGACACTATCGAATGACATTATTATCGAAAAACAATAATAAAACTTGTTCCGTTGTACATAAATTATATTTTTACAGCAATAAAACATTCTAATAATTTAGTTTGAAATAAAATTCAATCATATGAGATAGATGTGTTGTGTGTTAAATAAAATATCATTCCGGCCGCGGCCCTGAAAAATATGTATGAATATTGAATTACTGTTGTTACAATCAGAAAGTGGCCAACCCATCTTTTCATATTTTCATGAATCGCAATACAAGTTCCAGTTGTTATTTGAATGGAAGCTGTCAATGTAAACCGAAATAATTAAAACCAAAATGGTGACCCGCGTACAGGTGATTCATTAAGGATAAGACACTCGTTTTCTATTAAAATAATTGAAACTTTGTAGTTTTTCTTTGAATCAAGGTAAATGTCATATTTTTCATACGATACAAAACAACGACCGTAGACTACTTGCGCAACATGTTACGCGCACATATTGATAATGCGTACTATATCGATATTTTCTAGTCAGCGATTATTTGTTCATTTAGCCTTAGATCAGGTGAGCTTTCGAATGTAATGTTAGGTTACCATACACGGGCGCAGTAGTTAGTTCTTGATATTTTTCTAGACAGCCTAAAATTATTAAATTAATTATTATCAAATGTATAATTTTTCATTGTATTATTTGTATTAAATGTATTATTTTTTATTTTATTAAATGAATTATTATTATTAAATAACATTTTTTTACCTTTCTAGGAGAAAGCGGATAATGTGTTTAAGTATAATGTGTAATATTTAACTAACTGTGTAAATTGTAATTTAATAAATGCTGTTTTAATTTACTATACTTGGAATATGCCATTGTGAGTTTAGTAAAATATGGTTGAGAACTGTAACTAAATATAAGTTTTCATATTTTTAATTTAATATAGATGTATGAATATTTCTTCTAGTAAAACTTGTAGTTGAGAATTCTCATTAGCATACCAGTTTTCCGGTGCTTTAAGGGTTTAAAGTATTAAGTATGTCTTATAAAATGATTAGCAATATAACATTCTTTAAAAGGTGATTGATTTGACT